ATCTTGGTGTACAGATCTTTTTCTGCAGTTCTGACCTGATTGCAGCTAGGTTGACAAGTTAAAGGATATACATTATTTTAAGGATCTTAATACCTGTGGCTGCAATTGCTTTCTAGAAAGGTAGGCATCGGTCTGTACTTTTGTTAATAGTCCAATAAAAGGCTAAGTCATTGCTTCCTTTCAGCATCAAGTATTACTCCTTTAAAATAATTTTCTTTTTACCCTTTTTTAGGCCTTCTAACCCAGTAGGAAGGTTTTTATTTGTTCTTGGAAAATTAAAACAATGAAATAAAATAAGTCATCGGGTTCTTGAGAGAAAACTTAAGTCAACTTGGCAAGCAGTTCATTTAAGTGTCTCAGTTTCTGAATTCCCACCACCCATCCCTAGAGGTAACAGGAACCCAGGCCCACACTGAGGGAAAGAGGACTAAGTGGGCTGGACAAGCAGGGACCGCTCCTGGCAGGTTTTCCACTTATCCTGCTGGCATCCTCCTTTTTTTTTAATCCTCACCCGAGGACATTTTTCCATTTTTTGTTCAGACAGAGCAGAGCGGGAGGGAGAGTGAGAGAGAGAGGGAGAGAAACATCGACATGAAAGGGACACATGGAGTGGCTGCCACCCACATAACCCAACCAGGGCCGGGGACAAACTGTAACCGAGGTACATGCCCTTAGCGGGAACCGAACCTGGGCCTGTCTGGACCACAGGCCAACGCTCTAACTACTGAGCCAAACCAGCCAGGGCTGGCATTCTCCTTTTAAAAAGCCTCCACCTTTTCCCCTGAGAACGCATTTCCAAAGTGCCAACTGAGCCCCTTCACTCTGGAAGGCATTTTCCATCCTGGTCTGGAATGTTCTGTAGGATTCTGGAGGATACTAGACTTGCTGTGAGCTATAAATTCCCTCATGGGGTCATGTTCACCTTCAGTCTGTTGTAACCCAGGAGATCGACCACACTCAGACTCAATTTTTCGGTTTTTGGGGATGCTTTATTACCTGCGCAGGGACTGCAGCCAACCTACACAGAGGAGAACTGCAGCCCCAAGCTCAGGGGGAGGGTTGCTTATATAGGGCAGGGGTCAGTCAAGAGTTTAGCAGAGCAAGCAAGCTACGTGTACAGAAGTGGAGCCAGTTAGTGATAAGCAGGAGGGAACGGAGGTGGGAGGGAGCTGAGGCGAAAGGGAACTGGGTGAACTGGGTCAGCCTACATCCATTCTGCTATTCATTCTATTATGTAAGTTTTAAAAACTAACAAATTCGAGACGGATATCAGCGGTTAGTCAGGTGCAATACATATATGTTTAACAGTTACAGTTTTATGGGGTAAAGGGAGCTTCAGTTTCTTCCTATCAGTTTCTTTACAGAACATGCAGGACACTCTGGCCTTGGGGCCATTTCTGTCCTCCCTTTTCCTGAAGGATGTTGCTTTTCAAATTCCCAGTGAAGGTCAAACTCTGGTTAATTTTTATGGGGCTAAAGCTGTCTATAACATTCCCCATTGTTCATCTTGCTATCCCTGAGGTTGTTAATTAGGGCAGCTCAAAGACAAGTTGTTTTTCTTTATTGGATTCTAAGAACAGTGAGCTACAAGTCTTTTTTTTTTTTTTTTTTTGGTATGTGCCCCTAGCGGAACCAAACCCGGGACTCTCTGGTCCTCAGGCCAACGCTTCAACCGCTGAGCCAAACCGGCCAGGGCTCACTTTCAATTTTAATGGTGCCTGTGATGCTGTCATTCTCCAAGATGGGGAGGAAAAGCTGCAGGAAGTTAGATGTGTAGGGAGGGGCTATGACGTCCAGCACCTCGGTTACAAAATAGCGAATAAGTGGAATGTCAGTGTCCAGTTTCTCCAGACATTTTCGGATGTAACTGGCAACCGGAAGTACGTAACCACCTCGACTGGGCACGTGCACCATCCTGTCCAGCAGGGTCTTCTTCAACTCAAGCTGCTCCATTACGTCCAGCTGGGAGTGTTCCATCTCAAAGAGCTTCACGAGCAGCTGCAGGACCTGGGGGTGCAGGGGCTGGTGGCAGGTGCCGATTTCGTCCAGCAGCGCTAGGTGCACCAGGTGTGGTCCGTCTGCAGCTGGAAGTACCGTGGATCTGACACAGTCCAATCCACTCACTTCAGCACACCCATCGCTACCCCTGGAAACCTGATACACTGGTAGAGTGTGCTCAGCTCCGCCACCAGCTCAGAGGTCCCTTTGTTCTCGTTGCAGCACAGACTATGTGGACAGTTTTAATCACCTTGGAGGTCGACTTCAGCTCATTCTTGTTGATGTTTACTCACTTCTTCTTCTTCCAGGTCTCCACCATGCTGGCCGCGTACGCCAGGATGTGGATGTTCTTGTGCTGTGGTACTGGTTGATCCTGGTGCGGGGTTTAAAGAGCAACTGCATGAACAGGTTCAGGAAAGCCGGCACCTGAAAGGGCTGAACAGGAGACGGCCCATGCTTGTAAACATCTTCAATAGGACTGTGATGTCGCCTGGGTTCAGGGCTCCTTTGGACAGCATGGCCTCAAGGGCCTGGCAAGCCCAGAGGTAGGAGGTGGCCTAGCACCAGCGTGATCTGACTGGCGTCGTGGCCTTTCTCCTGGGCGAAGTGCTGGACCTCCTGGGCGATCCTGGGTACAGCGGAGCCCCCTGCTCTTCCTGGGCCAGCACGGACATCGTGGCCTGGGCAAACAGGTATGTGTGCTCCCCGTGGTGTACCATTTTGGCAAACTCGGGAAGAATATTTTCAAGGTTTTCTTCTCGTCCATCCAAAATTGTAGCCAGAGAGGTACGAAGTACTCTAGGGAACACCTCCAACGGCTGGCAAGCTGTGGATACACTGGTGATCTCTCCTTGGTACCCTGCGTCAGAAATGAGCTTAACAGTGAAGTTAAGCATCAAATAGCCTGGATGGACTTCGGCCAGTTTGTAGAAAAGATCTCTCCATGTGGTATGTGCGATCATTTGTTCAAGCCAAGCTGGGGTCTCTCCTTCAGTAAAAATAGAGTCTGCTTTGCGCGGGTCCAAGTAATCAGTAAGCTCTTCAGGTGATTCTTCACGGTCTCCTGCACCTGCGCGGGCTCAGTGCCTGTCTGAATGAGCCACTCGGCCAGCAGGTTGACAGCCTGGGCCACAGCGGTGTAGTTCCCGGCCAAGAGCTGGATCACGTTCTCTGGAGACCGTCCTGCCTGAGAAGGCCTCTTCAGAGTGCTGAAGATGGAAAGCTACATGATGTAGTCCCGGGTGGAGAACTTGTGGAGGCACTCCTGCTAGACTCCCCGTCGTCCTCTCCTTCTCCGAACTCATCTTCCTGCTGGCCGCTGTCTGCCTTGTCACCGCACTGGGCCGCACTCCCGAAGTAGTCCTGGTCCATGGTGGTGCCTGGCGCCTTCCCCGCCATCCTCTCCAGCGAGCAAGGGAGTGAGAGTGGCACATGCGCACAACAGAGCGGGAGCGCGCATGCACTTGTGGCCCGCCACCCCGTGCCTCTCCACGGGTGGGGGCATGGAGGAGGCGGCCAGTCAATGTTCTCTTTCATGGATGTCTCTATTTCTCCCTCTCCCTTCCTCTCTCTCTAAAATCAATAAAAAAAAAATTGATTTTAGAAAGAGAGAGGAAGGCAGAAGGAGAAACATCCGCGAGAGAGAACAGTCAATGGGCTGCTTCCTGCACACCCCCTAGTGGTGATTGAACGCACAACCCCAGCATGTGCCCTCACTGGGAATGGAACTGGTGACCTCTTGGTAAATGTATGCTACATTTTATGAAAAGAAATAAATATCAAGATACAAGTAATGGGTTTTTGTTTTTTTTTTCTGTATCAGAAATTTAAAACATCCAGAAAAATGTCAACTAATTTGATTTTGCTTAAGCTATGAGGCAAAGACAAGAATAGTAAGATAGGCGGTGTTATAGCAGGGGCTATCAGAGATTAAAATCTTTTTGTGGTGCAGTTTCAGTAATAAGTTGCTAGAATTGTTCTGGCCACATTTGGAGTCATGCTTCCTCAAGGATAGTTTGGCATTGTAGGGGAGGAAAAGTTTTCCTCAACCCTTTTAGAGTCCGTGGTTGAATTTGGAAATTAAGCTAACATAGACAGATTAACAGGAGCAAAGCATACACATTTATTTAAGATAAATTTTATGTGACACCGGAGCCCTCACAAGAAAATGAAAAACCAAAGAAATGGTTAAACCTGAGTGAATTTATGCTAGGGTTGATGAAGCGTGTCAAGTCATAGCAAGTGAAAAATGAAAGGACAGGCTGTCAAAGTGCAGTCAAACTAGGGGACCCTAGCAAGGCTGGTTTCTGTTCATACAGACTGCTCTCCATGTCCCTTGGTATTTAGAGGTGAGATCCTCCTTCCCTCTGGGAAAAGGAAGGGTACCTCTCACAGGAGGGTTTTATGATTTGTTTTGGGGGAAGGTTAGAAAGTCTGTCTTGCACATGCCATTTCTCATATTCCATATTCCTTCAGTTTGAAATATTCAATATGCCAAATTACCACGTTTTGGGGTAGCACGTCCCTGTCAGCACATACAAGTTGGAATAGTTGGCACATACGAGGTTAAGGATTGCTCTTGATCAGGTGCAGTGGCACAGATGGGTAGACCCGCGACTGGCCCTGGGCTGGGCAGGTGACGGGGAGGAGGCACAGGCAGGTGTGCTGTGGGGGAAATAATGTGGGGGGGAGAAGACGGTGGGGGAAATAATGAGGTCGCAGGAAGGGCAGACCCCGGAGAATCCCTGAATCCCCGCGTGGGAATATGGCTTCACTCCTGCATTGTTTCAAAAGTTGCTAAACTACCGAGGGCGTCTGGACTGGCGCTGGCAGCAGCTCGTCCGGGTCCGAGCTCAGCATGAGGCTGGGAGGCCGCAGACCAGCGGGATAGGGCGGAGGGGCCGCGCTGGTTTCGCATTGTCTCTAAGCAAGCGGGAAAAATAAAACTGAAACCGAAGCCTGCCGACTGGCACGCCCCTTCGCCGCGCCCCGCCAGACTCCTGCCCCTGCCGCCGCGGGCGCGTCTCCCATCCGCCATGGCAAGTTGCTTTTGCTTTGGATTTTGCGGGGCAAGGACGGCTCCGTCCGGTCGCTACTGTCCTCTAGAAGGACGCGGAGCCTGGTGGGGGCGGGCGGGGGTGCGGGGCTGACCCGGGCAGCGTGCGGAGGGGCCCCGGGCGGGGGAGAGCGCACTGTCGGGAGGCAACCCCGAGGGCAAACGTCTCGCTGCCTCCTGCACTCGCGCGTGGACACCGCGTGCACCTGGATTCACGGAGGGCCGAGCAGGAGGCTCAGCCCCGGAGGCCAGCGCGCCTTTGGGCGGCCACCTCCCGCACCCAGTGCGCCGTCGCCAGGGACACAGCAGTTTCGTCCAGCTTTGCAGGCTGTGTTAGGGCGTAACTATTGTTCCCTCCACCATCCCCCGCTTTGGTGAACAAGAGCCGAGGGAGTTACCGCGAAATGGAGGCCACAATTTCCTTTTGAAAAGGGCCCGCAAGAAGGATGCCAGTCAAGGACGCAAATCGGAAAGGCATCCAGATTGATGGATGTCTTGTCCGCGTTAGTGGGGATGTGGGACTTCTCTCTTGTGGCCTTAGTTCTTTCTCTAGACAAGGGCCCTGTGTTTTCACCCTGTGTGTTCCTTAGCAAGAACAGTTAACAAATTCAAGTTAGCCTTCCCTGTGCTTTCCATCAAGCGCTTGAAAGCAGTGGCAGGGCCCTTAATTCTCAGTTAGAAATGCCAGGGCCAAAGCAGTGTGACATGCAAGTATGATTTTGTTTAGTGGGTGGCAGTAAAGGCATTGTCAGTGAAAATAACTGATTTTAAGAAAAGCAATATCAACAAATGCCCTGAACAGATCTTATTATTCTCCGCCATTGATTTACTTACAAAAATAAACTCACAGTTTTCTTTATATCTATTTGGTTTCTGATACAACGGTCAGAGATCTCTTAAAATATATCACTGATACAGGGAAAATGCCATCACTTTAATACTTCTTGGCTAAAATGCTGCTCTTGTTTCAAAATCCTGTGTCTCTATGGGGTATCTCTTGAAAGGGCTGTCTCCAAAGACATTGCTTTTCCTTATGTGGATAGAAGAGATTAATAACTATCAGGGAGACGTTTCTTTGATTTCAAAGATAAGTTAAATGTACACACTTGAATAAGGAAACACTGTATGGCATTAGTATTGATGAGGGCAGAGGGGAAGTGAGATTTAAATTGATTGAAAGTTTTTCTTTGATATTGAGGAAGAGCAAAAAGGAAGCTAATTCTCTAGTCATTTACCCATTGAAGTCAGAATGGACTCTTAGAAACAGATGTAGGATAATGAAGACAAATCTCCTGTGAAGTAAAATTCCCTGAAAATCTGACAAATCTCTTTGGTCATTTTCTCCCCTCTGCTAGGAAGACCTGTTTTGGGATAATTACATATTGCTACTTGCAGCTAGGATGGAGGAACACTTCTATATATTTTTATTGTTTCCTATGCAATCTACTTGTCCCTGAGTATTTAAAAAATTTTTTTATTGACTTTAGAGAGAGGAAGGGGGAGGGAGAGAGATAGAAACATCGATGAGAGAGAACATTGATTGGCTGCCTCCTGCATGTCCTCCACTGGGGATTTTGCCCACAACCTGGGCATGTGCCCTGACAAGGAATCAAACCCGTGACCTTCTGGTGCATGGGTAGATGCTCAACCACTGAGCCACACTGGCTGCGCGTCCCTGAGTATTTTTAAAAAATATGTTTTTATTGATTTTTTAGAGAAAGAGGAAGGAAGAGAGAGAGATAGAAACATTGATTGGCTGCCTCCTGCACACCCTGTACTGGGGATCAAGCTTGCAACCCCGGCACATGCCCTCATTGGGAATTAAATTGGGACCTCTGAGTCCAGGGGAGCATGCCCAAGTCCAATCCACTGAGCCATACCAGCTGGGCAAAAGGTTCACTTTTTACATTTAACTCTCAAATTCATAGTTTATGTTGGTATACGGTATGAGGCAAGGATCTATCCTCTCTCTCTCTTCTCTCTCTCTTTCTATCTCTATCTCTCTATCCATCCATCCATCATCTATTTATCTATTAATCTGTAATCAAGTAATCACCTGCACTGGTACCTTTATTGAATAAAATAGCCTCTCCCACTGCTGTGTGATGTTGCCTAGATAGATTAAGTAGAATCTTACATATTTTAAAGAGCATCCTATTTCTCTTACAGGCATCAGTTTTGAATGTCAAGGAATCCAAAGCTTTTGAAAGAATGATTGTAGTTGCTGGTCTTCCAGTTGGCCATAATGATCGATCACTGACCAAATTAGTGAAGAGTCACTTCCAAGATATTAAGAATGAGGGCGGAGTTGTTGAAGATGTGATATATCCAACAAGAACTAAGGGAGTTGCATATGTAATATTCAAAGAAAAAAAAGGTATTTTCAAATTAAATTTCTGTAATCTTAGAAATACTTCTGTGATAAAATTGAAAATTGAATTTTATTAAAATGAATCACGGGATTGGTAAAGTTTAAAGTGGATTAAAAATTATATTCTGAATATCAAAGTGGCACAATGTTCCACTAGCAAGAATATATGTGAAAATGGCTCATGATAAAGTTGCCAGTAACTGGCAAATTCTTGAAGACTTATTTCTAAATTTTTTATCCTCACCCGAGGACATTTTTCCATTTTTTGTTCAGGTAGAGTGGGGGGGGTGGGCGGGGAAGAGAGGAACAGAGAGAGAGAGAGAAACATCGATGTGAAAGGAACACATCAAGTGGCTGCCACCCACACAACCGACCAGAGCCGGGGACAAACTGCAACCGAAGTACGTGCCCTTAGCGGGAACCGAACCCGGGTCTCTCAGGACCGCAGGCCGACGCTCTAACCACTGAGCCAAACTGGCCAGGGCTATTTCTAAATTTTGAATCGTTTATATATTGGGATAAAAGTGATACATTTTAATGTAGAAAATTTGTAAATTTTGGAAAGAAGTAAACAAAACCCCATAAACATGATCTCTCATCTCACAAACACAGTAACTACTTTGGGAATTTTGAGGCGGTGTCAGCAATGTAATCATATTATTTGCTTCTCTTTGTTCAAGCTAAACAATGGATAGTCTAACATATATTTGTTTTATTGCTGGTAAAGTTAGATCGGAGAAGTACGGCTTGGCTCTGAGATCAGGGTGAACCATTGTGCTTCCCAGCCCGCCTCTGACAGGTGAGGAAGCTGGGTGTGCAGGGCTCTTTCACCCTTGCTGCCTCAGGGGAGGGGCGGCCTTTCTCATGGCTCACTGACTGGCCGAACAAAATGCGAGAGAGATGAGTTTCCATACCAGCCTCTTGGAAGTAAAAGTACCACATGGCATAGGAGGAGAAGGAAAGACCTTGCTCTGCTTGAGGGAAGATAAGGTCCAGAGAGAGATCCAAGACACTATGTATGGATCATCAGTGACTTTATCTGTGACCATTAGTGAAGTCATTCCTTCTCAGTGGAATGTTCACATAGGAGACGGTGGGAAGGGCTGCTTCTTTCTATAAGGGGATTGTAGTGTTTTGGAAGCTAGTATTTTATATGTTGAATTGGTAACCCAGAGAGAGAAAAAGAAGGGAGGGCTTATTTATTTATTAACAGATACTTATTGAGTGCCTGTTATTTGCCAGGCACCATTCCAGGCCTTGAGGGTACAGCCGTGAATGAAATAGGCAAAGTGGTTTCTTTCATGAAGCACACATCTGTGAGGGTGGACAGATCATAAACAAGCAAAATGTATATCTAATATGTTCGATGTTTGATTTATTTGTATATTTATATATATTTATGCTTATATATGTTTTTATGAGTAACATGCACTTTTTAAAAAGTAAATTTATTTGGGTAACATTGGTTAATAACTATATAAATTTCAGGTGTATTACATTATAGTACGTCATCTGTATACTGTATTGTGTGCTCACCATCCAAAGCCTGGTCTCCTTCTGTCACCTTATATTTACCCTCTTCATCCTCCCTCAATCCCTTTTCTCCTCTGGTATCCTCTGTTCTGTTGTCTGTATGTATAGGTTCCTTTGTTTGTTGGCTTTATTTGTTTATTGCTTTTTGTTTTATTTTCCATATATGAGTGACATTACATGGTTCTTGTCCTTTTCCATCTGCCTTATTTCACTTAGCATGATACTCTCAAGATCCATCTATGTTGTGCAACAACACTAGCTTGCAGGGAAATTCAAAACAAAACTACAATGAGAAACCACCTCATAAGCGTTAGAATGGCAGCTATTAATATGGAAAGAAATACCAAGTGTTGGAGAGGAGGTGGAGAAAAAGAGAACCCTTGTACACTGCTGGTGGGAACATAAATTGGTGTAGCCACTGTGGAAAACAGTATGGAGGTTGCTCAAAAAATTAAGAATAAGAGTTACCATATGACCCAGCAATCCCTCTTTTGGGCACCTTACCTGAAAAATTTGAAAACACTCATTGGTAAAGATATATGTATCCTTATGTTCATTGGAGAATGTTTACGGTACCCAAGATATGGAAACAACCCAAGTGTCCTTTGACAGATGATTGGATAAAGAAAATGTGATCCTCCACTCTCTCTGCATACACATATATACGCACACACAATAGACTACTACTCAGCCATGAAAAAAGATGAAATGTTGCCACTTGTTTATATTTATTTATATACTAATATATAAAATGAGTGCTATGAAAAAATATAAAGAAGAATAAAAGGATAGGATGTGATAGGCTACTTTAGATAGAGTAGGTAGGAAAATACTCTGTTAGGTGACATTTGAACAAAGACTTGAATGAAGTGAGAGAATGACTCATGCAGATAAGGGATAAGTAAGACATTCTTGGTCCAGGGAAGAACTGGGAGTAGAATGCTGGCCATCTGGAAGAACAACAAGGAAGCCTGTGTGGCTGGAGTGGAATGAGTGAGGGGTGGCTAACAGGGGATGTGGTTAGATGAGTAGCTGGGGGCCAGTTTATGTTAAGTTGCTTATAGGTCCAGGCAGGATATCTGGACTTTATTCTGGGTGAGAAGGAAAGCCATTGGGTCGTTTTGAGCAGAGGACAAACAGAATGTGACTGCCTTTTTTTTTCCCCCCACATTTTTATTGTTTGATGTAAAATGTATTACAGATTTTGCACATTTTTCCCCCATTGACCCCCTCCTCCCCACTCCCGCCCCCTCCCACCTTTTCCCAAACTATTGTCCGTGTCCATTGGTTATGCATGTAAGTTCTTTGGTTTATCTCTTCCCACCCCCCCAACCCCTTTCCCTTTGAGGTTTGTCAGTCTAGCAATGAATTTGTGCTTCTTAATCCCTTCACCTTTTTCACCCATTTCCCCAACCCCCTTCCCAACTGGCAACCAACAAAATGTTCTCTGTATCTATGAGAATGTTCCTGTTCTTCCTGTTCATTTTGTTTGTAGATTCCATTGTTGATAGATATGTATTCATTGCCATTTTGTTTGTTCATACATTTTATCTTTTTCTTTAAAAAGACCCTTCATCATTTCATATAATAACGGTTTGGTAGTGATGAACTCCTTTAACTTTTTCTTGTCTGGGAAAGTTTTTATATGTCCATTGATTCTAAATGACAGCTTTGCAGGATAGAGTAATTTTGGTTGTAGGTTCTTGGTTTTCATCACTCTGAATATTTCTTGCCACTCCCTTCTGGCCTGCAAAGTTTCTTTTGAGAAATCAGCTGACAGCCTAATGGGAACTCCCTTGTAGGTAACTAGCTGCCTTTCTCTTGCTGCTTTTAAGATTCTCTCTTTGTCTTGAACCTTTTGCATTTTGATGATGATGTGTCTTGGTGTGGGCCTCTTGGGGTTCATCTTGTTTGGGACTCTCTGTGTTTCCTGGACTTGTATGTCTGTTTCCTTCACCAAGTTAGGAGAGTTTTCTGCCATTATTGTTTCAAACAGGTTTTTGATTTCTTGTTCTCTCTCTTCTCCTTCGGGCACCCCCAAGATGCGAATGTTGGCACGCTTGAAGTTGTCCCAGAGCCTCCTTACACTATCCTCATTTTTTTGGATTATTTTTTCTTTTTGCTGTTCTGATTGGGCGTTTTTTGCTTCCTTATATTCCAAATCGATGGTTTGCTCCTTGGATTTACGTACTCTATTATTGAAGCTATATAAATTATTCTTTATTTCAGTTAAAGCCTCCTTCGTTTCTAACTGTGCAGCGATCATTTCTGACTGGTCCTTTTTTATGCTCTTGAGGCCCTCACTGAGTTCATTGAGCATCCTTATAAGCAGTATTTTGAACTCAGCATCTGTTAGGTTGCTTATCTCCATTTCGCTTAGTTCTTTTCTTGGGGTTTTGTTCTGTTCTTTCATTTGGGACCTGTTTCTTTGTCTCCTCATTTTGGCTGCCTCCCTGTGTTTGTTTCTGTGTATTACTTAATGAGAGGTATAGGGCTCGCTGAGACCCGATGCTGCTCGTTTGAAAGAGTTTAGGAAAAACCTGAAGCAGGATCCAAGACAGGCCAATCCTATGGTTAAGCAAGTGGCAACAGCTTGGGTGGGACTGAAAGTTGGGTGGGGCGGGGCGGGGCCTCAGGGAGTCAGCAGGGCGGGGCTACCAGTGTGAGCCAGGTTGCTGGAGTCCCAGATATGGCGACTGTCTGCCGCCCCAGGGAAGGGTTCACCAAAGGAACAAAGACCTCTTACAGCACGTTTGTCCCCGAGTAAGCCCCCTCTCCAGCCCTCGCTCCAATGCCAAACAGCTCAGTTCTTCCCTGTATTTCTCTGGTGCCCCTCGAGCTGCCTCCCCTCCGAGCTTAGAGGGAGAGAGTCCGATAAGTCCGTGCGCGGGCCCTTTAAGGAGCTGCCTGTGGCTCCAGCCGCTTCAGCTTCCCTGAGCCTCAGTTTCCACTGGTTTTTCCAGCCAGAAGTTATGGGACTTCTCTTCCTGGCACTGGAACCCTGAGCGGGTGGGATGGGGACCCCTTAGTCCTCAGGAAGGACCTTCCCAGCCGCAGAAGCCTCCTGATTTTTATCCGCCACACTTGGATGTGGGACCAGCCAGTCGTGCCGCCGCGCTGCCGCCGCCGCCACCCCTCGCGCCACTTCCCCTCCTACCGGTCTGGATGTAGCTGCTTTTGTCCTGTAGTTGTAGGACTTCCATTCAGCTTGATTTCAGGCGGTTTTGGATGATGGTTGTTCTGTAGGTTTGTTGTAACTTGGATGTGGTTGTGGGAGAACGCGATACTGCGTTTCCCTACGCCGCCATCTTGACCGGAAGTCCAATGTGACTGCCTTTTCTTGGATGGTCAATCTGTCAGTCATGTGGAGAATAGGAGCTACTAGTCATTGCTGGTTTTTACTAGAGGGGTAGCAGGCAGGCGATTAAGAGCTAGTGGGAATTTAGGATTTGCTGATGGATTCAGTGTTATTT